TGTTCCCATCCTCAACAACAATACTATTTCTCACTACTGCAATAATAAAAGTTACAAACAGTGTAGGAAAAGAATCCTAGCTCTTATGTGGTGTTCTTCCTCATTAAATCTTGTAAAATACTTTAGAAATGAGATCACTAATATTTTTACAGAGAGAGAGTTTTTTTACAGAGATTTTTCTCTTTCCCTCTCTGTAAGGGAAAGAGGGAGGATTCCCTCTTTCAGAGAGGGAATCAAGATTTTTTCTGAGTCACTGAGAAACAAGGAGAGCGGCTAATGACCAAAGCTAACACCACTGGCATAAAATAGAAATCATGTCTCATGACACTGCCGGAGTTCTACTCTTGAGGGCAACAGAAGAGTGTACCAGGAAAATGGAGAGAGAATAAAAGTTCAGCCAAACTACAGCTCCACTTGCATCCTGTCAGTTATTCTGATGTGTTTTCCCTTTCTATGCTTTAATTAAATGCTTCACTTTCCTCATCAAAAACTGCTGGAAGATCCACTGAGAGGGGAACTGAGGGTGCTATTTTTATGATAGGAAACTTAGCATTAAATAGGAAAATATCACAAACTATCCGAGCTAAAGACATCTGAATAGGAAGGCACGTTCTGACAACCTAGGAGAGGGTTTACTGAGGGAAATTTAATGAACTTAACTACACTATATGAACAAAGCTAGTGGAGAGGAGGGTAATGTCCTACAAACAAATCACCTACAAACTGATACAGCAGATATATAGGAAAGGCACACGTATAGAAGGGCAAAAATAGAATTAGATAACAACAGTCACAATAGACATGATTCTGCTAGTCCCAGAAGGAGAGCTCTTTTTTACTGTTGCACAGATTTCAACTGTGGATTTTGTCTCTGTATATTTGTATCTGTAAAATAAGAATGAGGAGTGGATGGAGATGAAAGCCTTGGTTTCTATGGGAAGATTAACAGCTCCAATGTAGGTTAACAAAATTTATCATATTCCCTGTGGTGCACGTTGCCCCAGTTCACGATCATTAAACTTTTTCACATTTGAGCTGTCCTTTGCAAATATGACAAATTAGAATTTAAGATTTATCTCAGTTGGGTTTGAGGTTAAATATAGGAAATTCTGCATGACTCCAATGAAGCAGACTAGTTCATCTAAACAGGAACTATGAAACCCAACTGCAAACTATACACAAGGCTGTTATCACATTCCTCTTCCCCATCATCTCTGCCTTTTTATATTGAGATCCTGAACTAAGAAAATAAATGAAGGAAAATCAAAGAACCAGAGATACAATGACAACACCACAGAAGGTGACACCAGAGCACTTTAGAGGATACTAATTTATTTATTATTCACAATTTGAGAATTCATTTGATACATTCTACATTAGAGGCAAGCAAAAAGAGAAATGGAAGAAAAACAAAAAAATCTGTTTATAGCTTTAGGCATGTTTTAATTTGTTTCTCAGCTCTGTTTAAACAAGCAATTCACTTTTATATATTTTTGAAAGTCATAATTAATTAAAACCTTAAAAAAAAGAAATGATTTGCATGTCTTGTATTTCTGAATGAGAATAGTTCAAATTTGTTTATATGGGACAACACTGAAATGCATTTGTTTCACCTTTCCCTGGTAGCTTTAGAAAATACCTTTTTCTTGTGTGTTGCTTCCAAAACAATTGTCAATTGGCTTTCTTTCTAATTCAGTGGGTAGTGAAAATGGAAAGCACTGTAGTAGACTTTGTGGGTCCTGAAACATAGTTACTTGCTTATGGGTTCATTTGTGAAACACCAACAGGTAGCACCACTGAAAATATAGAACTCGTATGCCATACACTAAGTAGTCCTTCTGGTCAATCTTGGATTCAACTTTTTTATTCAAAAAAAATGTAAAGAAAGATGTTCATAGTTTGGAAAAAGACCATTGCCTCCTTCTACAATAGCTGTCTAACACTTCCCTATCTGTGCAATACTTCCCTATTCTAGAAATTCAAGCTTTCTGGTTGTTATTGTATATGGTTTTAAGTTAGTTTCAGTTAGTTTGACCATTGTATATGGTTAGTTTAAGTTAGTTTCTGTCCTTTGCATCTGCAAAAGTCTTATTGGCACAGCTGGGTGACTCTATATAGCATCTGCAACAAAACTTTTTTTTTGCAGGAAATCTGCAAGAGTCATTGGAGCATCCAGCACAAACTGCCAGCAAAACCCTATTTCGCAGTATTTAAAAAGCATAAATGCTCTCTCGAACCTAAGCTAACTCTCCCATGGAGGTTCAAGCTTTTCCCCACTGCCTGAAGAGTATGCTGCAACTTTTGCAGATCTCTAGCAAGTAACAAAACAGGCAGAAAGAGAGAATTATTTAAACTCAGAGACAGAAAGAGAGAGCGGGAAACAGAGATCACGCATCTATATGCATCTTTATATTAGTATTTGGGGATATGTTTTCTATCAAGCTAACAAATTTTGACAAATATACTAATTATTACATTTAGAAAAAAAATCATATTTCTTTCAGGATAAAAAAGCATGATTTTATAATTCAGTACTTTCAAACAGCTCTATTATGAATAGGTCCTTTCATCTTTCTCCTGATTTCTGATAGAAAATTCTTTTACTCTATACTGTCCTGGCAAGTTTTAAGTTGGACATCCAAAACATATGTTTGATTATGCTAAAGCAGTATAATTTAAGATATCTCTCTCACACACACATAGAGCTGCTCCCAACTCATATATTTATATACATATACAGTGAAAAGGGTTTCTAAATTATATACAATAACATTTCAATAAACGAAGTTAAACAAAGACAGCCAACCAAGAAGAACTGAGATATGTAGCATTTGAACTGCAATATTAAAGCACCTTTAAATTAAATGAGTGTTTGGCAGCTCAGGTTTTAATTGAAACTGCAACATTTTGCTGAACAAAATGAATTGTCAACAGCCTTGTTTTTCATTAAAAAGCCATCATAAGTACAAATCCCAAGCAAACAAAAAGGCATCTTACCTGGGTTTGCTTTCTAGAACGAGCAGAGCTCAGAGAATGATTACAACTTAATGTATTTTCCTTGTATAGCAATGAAATTTTATTACTGCTCTTGTTCTTTCCTGCTTACACGTGTATAGATACTACAATATTTTGTTCACTCTTACATCCTTGCTTTCTCTAAACACTACTATGTCAGTAGATGAAAAACCTCAAACAGAATTACAGTGCATACCGTGGGATAAGAACTAGCCAGTAGGGAAAAAGGTATCATAATCTGTCTTTTCTATTTTTCTCTTTAAAATTCTAAAGAAAAACAGGATGGAAAAAACAATAGTGGCTAGCATATGCTAAGAGCATTCTGACTGTTCTTTGTTTGTTTTTCTTTTTTAACAGTTGATCTTCAAAAACTTAGTTTTTCTGAAGTGCAAATTTGTAAAAGACATAAATTATTTTTTCCCCCATCATCTCTCATTTCCAAGACTAGAAAATAACAGAAATTCTATTTATGAATACAAATAGATGATAAACACGAAAGTAGTAAATGTCGGAAAACTGGAACTGGAAATGTACTTTACACTTAAAACATGAATGTTTTGCTCATATTTTACATATAGATTGTATCATAAAGAAAAAATCTCAATAAAGGGCAATGTTTAAACAACACAATCCAAGAGTCATGGATTGAGTAAAATAGTGGCATTTTTTTAAATTCTAAGTCTTCTGGTTTTCTGCTAAGTTAATCTACTTGCTATGATTTGTGATAAAATATCTTCATGTCAATTACAATGAAAACATGAAAATTATATTTCTGGAGTTTTGTTAAATACAGTAGTTCTATGCAAGCAGCTAAAGAAAGTGCATTCTTTGAAATGTCTCTAGGCGAACATAATTTGCAGTAGGTCTTAATTTTAAAGGACATCTATTAGAGTCTGGTCTCCCCTTTTACCTTCCCCCACAAAATATAATTTAGGATACTCTACATGCTGAATTCTGCTGTTGGTGATAAACCCAGCACTCATTGCGCTTAGGGAAGTAAAAATGAGCAGCAAAGAGAATACCTGAAAAATAACATTTGTGGGCTAAATGTATCTTTATAATGGAATGTATAACTCAACATTGGAAGAGATTCTTCAGGAAGATCAGGCAATGTTCTGAAAGGTTCCCTGCAAGATTTTAAAAAAACAATGCAGAAAATATCTACAAAGAATAATCTAAAATCAGTATATGTGTCACAGATACAATGATAAATTTAATGCTTCTCAGTAATTGCAAACAGGCTATGAACTGTGAGAAGGTTTCCATGGACTGTTTGCAAAAATATAACTGCAAAATAAACTCCAATATGAAGGCAACAGATGAGCATTTAAAGTTCACACTTACTTTCATTAGGTTGTGAAGGGGCAATACTCAACAAGATTGTGAGGTATGATTTGGTGTTTGGGAAGGGCTAGATGGTTCTTTCATTTAAGAAATGTTCAAAGAGGGCACTCTTCCCTTTGGGCCTATTTGCTATGATTTTCTGATTTTTAGGTATATTTTATTAGGAAAGACACAAAGAGAGACATTATCTCCAGGAAGGACTGACAAATATACTCTTGGTATTCAATCAGTATGGGCAAGCATCAATTCAAGCTTTTATGTCTCTTAACTCCTCCTTTCAGAAAAGCAATAAACTTGACTGTATCCACTGAGCGTTATTCACCTAGAAACAGACCAAAATGCCAGCATATTTTCATTAACCAGCTTTTAAAGACATTTCTGAATGTATCCAAAAGAATCCCAAACACGATGTATAAATGCTAAAGAAAGACAAAGATATATATAAAAGGAAGAGAATATGTGATCTTTCAGTTTGCAAAATTTTGTATACACCGCCATGTCCCTTCTATCAGCCACGTCAGTGATGAGATTACAGTTTTCCCCTTCTGTGAAGAAATCCAGGGATGTAAATTGATTTGCTCAGTGAAACATCCCAGACAAAACAGAGACTCTTTTCTTGCAGATTAATAGTTTTGATTTACCTTCATTGTTCCTTAGAGTAAAGTTGGGATTCATAGAAAGCCCTTCATCAAGAGAGAAATGGAATCTTGCACCATTTGCAGAGTTATCCTTGTCGGTTGCACTGATAGTCTGAATTACCTGAAATAAAAATTGAGTGTGAATGTGTTGTAATTTAAACTTGACCAAGAATTACCTAACCTCAGCAGCATTTTCAAACTTAGCTCATATTAATTTTCTCCTTGACTGCTACCATATTCAACCTATGAAATGACCGTCCCATTCGCCCAATTTCTCTAGCACGAAATATTTTAGGAACCTTGCTGCAGAGCTAGATAAAAGAATTTAAAACATCAATTTAGTTTAAAACTTTCTGACATTCTAATATGGTCAGCTGGTACTGATGTTTTCATCATTTACATTGCTTCCTGGTGATTTTCAGAGTTACAGTTATGCTTTTATAGAGCCCAAATTGAGCCTGAACAGCTTAAGTATATGCAGAGTATCATTTGCTAGCTTTGAAAATAATTAATGCACATTAATATTGGTAAATAAAAAATAATAACCAAAATCACCAATAACCGAAGTCACCAACATATAAGATCAGGTCACCATTTGAAATTTAGGAATCAGTTTTAAATTGTCAGAGAACAGAACATGAAGAACAGCAGCCACTCCTCATTTGCTGAGAAGGAACAGAATGAGATGTGGAAACCGTGTACTGGAGAGGTGTTTTGAAAGGTAAAACCTGTCAAAAGTCCTGATGATTTTTAAATTTTAATTTCAACCAAAAACAAGCTAAGCTTTTGGAACACTGGACAAAGCAACAGTTCTGCCTCCAATTGTACATTCATGTTGACTATGGAAGTTGAAGTGCCAAAGTAGAGTTTAAAATAAAGGATGTTTTTGTGATATATCCAGTGAAGATGAAGCAAACCATTGCACAGAGCTGATAGCGAAAAGCAGAAGGGGGAGAGAGAATTGCTCTTCTCATGAGATTTTTTTTTTCTGTTCAGTGTTTGACTGCATTCTGCCCAGACCAAACCTGAAATGTAAACAGTGAGGGCTTTCGTGGTCCTATTTCCAGACTAGAAAACAATACATAGTTCTCAGTCTCCACTCACATAAGTGAAGAAAAAAAGAAAAAAACATTTTGAAGCTAGCAAATTGCAGTGATTAGTCTATAGACCATAAATGCCTGAAATTGTTAAACAAGTTAACAATATTGCTGATAATTATGCTGCTGAGAGTATTTTTAAAGTTTGCCATGATATTTTTTTGCCAAGCCTTATCAGAACTGAAATATAATCTTGTCAAAGGCATGCAGCTTTGGTGAAAAATTCTGGCATAAGCTAATAATTACTTATTATATAATATATAAAAAATCACAAATATATAATATATAATTATAATAATTGAAAAGATGGAAGAGAAAAAACAACATATAAAACCAAAAAATACAAGATGAGCTTAAATATACATATTCCGGTAATATTGATGTGATACAAGTCAAAGTAAGATAAAAAGGATAGCTAAAAGAAGAATATTTTCAAGTGAACTTGAAACACAACCCCTAAAAATACTGATGAATACTATCAGAATTTGTTTAAAATTCAGATAAGTGATCTTAAAAAAAGGCATTTTATTGAATAATTTATAAATCATCAGTATTGTTTATCAGTGAAAAAATGACATTTTGCCATGCACTTTCAGCTTTTCTTTGACAAGCTTGTAGATAAACTTTCGTCCTGTTGCCCTATCTTATATAAAGTGTTCAGTGACATTTTGCAGCATCTTGCATCAAAACATGCCATTTTGAGAAAAAAAAAAAGAAAAGCACCTTTGATCAAGGCCCCCATGCAGTCTACTAGCTTTAAATATACTTGATTTTTTTTCATAAGGGTTCATGTTTCCTAGGGAGAAGATTTCAATGACGTCTTTTCAGACATCTGAAACGTGTATGCTTCCTCTTAACATCAAAATGTACTGTCAACCTTTAATAGTAACCTAACTAACTATTGGCTTTTTAGCAGGTATTAACCTTAGCAAAGCTAATTAAAACAAGAATGTAGACACAGATCCTCAACTGTGGTAAAGCTCACTGACAGCAAAGAAGTGATGAAAATTAAGACTAATGATTTGTTTTTTAAACAAATGAAAGAATCTCAAGAAGGTAGAAGGACTAATTGAACAGGAAACACTAGAGGTGCTAATTTCTACTCAGATCCATGCCAAACTTGGTAATTATCAGCAATTAAGTAAATTTACATGAGGAGGTTATGGCAGAGGTACAGGTGTACCTCACACTTACCTAGAGGCATGTGGGTACCTTGTCCTTTGGCTGTTGGTAATAACAGCACCACAGGTGCAGGTAGCTCATACTGGTAGCACAATATTTATACATTGTGCTCTTGAAAAAGGTATGTGTGTGTGCACACACACACACGTATTAATTTACAGTAATACATATTTTAATGGTCTTACACTCTGGCAGGACAAATGAAGATAGAAATAGTAAAAACGCTGGCAACATGACACACCCTCATTTTTCCAGACCAATGTATTTTAGCTTTTTTTTTTATATTTGCACTTGCTCTCCCTTTTTGAAAAAGTAAAAAAATAAGTTAGAATTTTATCTTGTGAGAGATTGCAAAATTTGATTTTCCTGGCTAATGATTAATTTCACAGTCAGTCATAAAATATTCTGGATAATTATAATGAAAATTAGATTATTTCTACAACCCCAGATGCCATTTCTCCAACTCTGGATGCCATCTGAGATCAAACTACAGATTCTTAATCCACTTTAGTATGTAATATCTGTTACGCTTCATCTGGATACAGAGTGTATTTTCTCAATAAGGTGACTGCTAAAGGAAAAAAAATGACTTAAATGTTGAAATGATCATCTTCTCACAAGCATTTTCTGTTTGAGATGCCTTAGGGGTTTAATTTAAGTACACTTCCTTAAGTTTTATTGCCTTTTTTTTTTCCAAGTAAATAAATCGGAGGGAAAAGGATGCAGGAAAGAAAGGCTGTGAAATTAAACTGTCTCCATAGATGTTTTTCACAAAAAATAAAAAAGCAATAAAATGCAAAAAGCCTTTCAAAAGCAAATGATCGTTTTATTTTCCACACAATAAATTCAAAACTGAATTCTGGGAAAAATGACCCCTAAGTTAAGTGCTGCAGGGAGGCAGCTACTCCCCCTAGACTTCCTGGGGAAAGAAATAAAAACTTTTGGGGGTCAGTTCAGGGCAGGCTGGATGGCTAATAACTTGAAAACAAGCACTGTGAAGTAGAAATGTCCTAAAAACCCACAGAACCTGATGGAATTTGTTCTTTGGAATCATTCTCACACCGTGATGGATAAATTAGAGTAAATACTGTCTTTTCAGTGATTGAGAACCATGCGGTTAGGCACACTTTTTAGCATATGCAATGATTGTCTTTTTCTGTAATTCCTGTTTATCTCTTTCTCCTTAACGCTTGTTGGACACAGCCACTTCCTTTCTTAAGCCAGACAGTATGATCTTTTGAGCAAGGGCCATATACTTTTGGGATTTGTTCTTCTGTACAGAACAATGATATTACACTCTTCTCTGAAGCTTTATTGTGCTACATGATGAAATGTACATAATGCAGTCCTGCTAGTTTAGATATACACCAAGATGCTGATCCAAGCATTTGTATCAAGCTCCCGCTTATAGAGCCTTTCACAACACATTAATCTTGGGTGTTAAATTGCAATGCTGCAGAGGTCACAACAATTTGCAGTAGCAACAGCAGCTGCAGAAACACAACGCAGATACAAATCAGCAGTAAAACTTGTTATAAGAAAACATGGCTGAATCTTTAAAGTTTCATATACATATATATATATATATATATATATATATATATATAAAACCCTTAAAGTTTCATATACAAAACTACTTTTGACAGTTAAAACTTTGCTGGCAAGAAGCATTAGTGACTCAAAAAACTCCAAGGGAAAAACAGCATATCTGAGTTTAGTGTGGCAATGACAAAAGATCATGTTATTCCGTTATCCAGTCTCAATTTTGATTCTCAGTATCCTCACAGGTGTGAAAACTTGTTCAGCATCTTTTGTACAGTGAGCCTGCATGAACAGGCTCACCTTAACCATGACTTTTCATACAAGCTTTTATGACAACAAGCTCTTTTTATCAACTGGCACAAACCCTAGCCATACTAATCTGCCATTGCCCTAAGACATATATGAAACCTCACCACCACATGGCAACTTCAGTGAGAGATGTTACATCTTCATCCATTTTGTTCACAATAGCGGCTTTACAAGATCTCCATTGTGTGACAAGATTAATGTTTTCCCATTTTCACTAAAGATTTTTTTCACAACAAAAAGAAAGATATCTTGAACAAATTCCAAGTGTACTTCCTTCAGTATAATACAATTAAAAAAAAAATCTAATGTTACATATGAAAATGTAATTAAAAAGAATTGTAATTCCCCTATATTGCCTGATCAAACATCAAACAGAAATAAGACCATTCATCTCACTCACTGGGAGAAACACAACTGTGACAGTTACCTGACCAGGCTTTGCATTCTCACAGACAACTATCTCATACTCTCTGGCGAGCTCTGGGGGGTTGTCATTGACGTCCAGGATTCTAATGCCAACTGGAACATGGCTCACTAGCCCCGGGTTGTCTGTAAAATACACAAGGGGGTATTAAGCCTTTTGAAATATTCAGTAATCAAGGACATCCTCAATCTAATCATGTTTTTCTTAAGACAACAATTGGATGAGAACTGAATACAATTGTAGGTAGCAAGAGCTTCATGAAAACGCTATTTGTTGAGTTTTGTTAACTGTTTTGGAAAAATAAAAAGGAATAGGAAATTATAATAGCATCTTAAGTCACAGTTCTATCAACAAAATATGAGTTACTGGAACTGAAGTGGAAGTTGTTGGAGTTTTTCACATACTGTCACACTCTATGGTAAAATATGATCAAATGCTTTGTAATTACTGTGAAAGTATCACCACAGTATTAAATAACAGTAAACAGAACAGAACAGTAAGCAGAACAGAATAGTAAACAGAACAGAGATCTTGTTTTCTTCAGTCCCTCAAAGGCTTTAGGAAATAAAATAAAATAATTAGAAAATATTAATGCACAGCCACATATAAACCATTTTCCCATGTCTAACTCCAGACTCCTCATAAGTTATGAGGCAGGTAACCTGTACACAGAATAGTTAATGACAGACTTGTTCGGGCAGCAAAAATCCAGGATCAGTGATGAGTAATGTTTAACTAATGGTGTCTTAGGTTATAATTTCTATTTGTGTACTTATCAAAAAGGAATTCTCCCTCAAAAAGAGCACGATAAACAGAATCCGTACAATACAATAATTCATTTTACATTTTAAAATGGAGAAAAAAAAACAGGTTTTCTTAAATCCAATCCTGTTATTACTACTATATCTACCTTTTCATTCGTTGGAAGAAATGTATTAAGAACTTTTTATAATTAGCTTTTAAGAACATCTAGAGTCCATATAAAATCAGTCCTTTTATATCACAAATAAATATGCTGTAGACAATACAAGCTTCATTTTACTTTCACCAGTTCAATGAATTGATGAATAAAAGACAACAAAATCAATTCTTCTAAAAAATGAGGTGAAAGAACTACAGAACTGAGTCTTACAGACTGATGTTTTTAATCAATGTGAGTATGTTCATAAGAAGAAGCTGAAATAAGAAACTTTAAGAGTCTCTTCTTTTCCTGTTTTTTTTTTCTCATAATTAATCCCCATCATGTACCTGTCAAAAAAGGCCCATTTGTGAAATGTCTTAGATTTGTTATGTCTTTGATGACTTTTGCTCAGAATTCTCAGCAACGTTGATTAGATTAGGCAAGTATTTACCTAAGGCAAATTAGGCAAAGCCACCAATCAAAGAGCCTCCCCTCCTTCATATACTTCTGTTAAGAAAATACAGAAGTTTATTTTTTTAAAAGTGTCAGACTTAGCTTCTCTTCTTTTCACCTGGGAAACTAGTCAAAGATTCCAGGATTCAGATATTTCGCATTCTCCTTCTGCCTAATACTATGCTTGGCTGATGATTTTTTCTCAGTTTCTAAACTTGGTCAATTACCTATCCCCATAAGAAAAAAATGGGAATGGAATAGAGATCAAAACAGCCATCAGAAAAGAAAAACTTGATTTGCATTAGATAGGAAATCTCTGTTTCCACTTATTGTTACTACCGATTCAAAGTCAAGTTATACGAACACATTTGGAAGACATTACAGACTTGTGAATTACATTTTCTTGATGAAATTTTCCTTGAATGTTAGTATTTTCAGTCTGACTCAAGACTAAGAATATTATCACAACATATCGACCAATGAGCTAATGCAGGCTCATGCAAGGCTAAGCCTTGACATCTCTAGATGTCGTGTCATTTACCTTGACTTCCTCTGCCACTGCAATCAGACGACACGATAATCCTATAATAACAAATACAGGACCTAACCTCAAGAAATATCTGATAGTTTATTTGGACATAATCTACAGCTCTAAGTATTATTCTGGAGCTCTTCTGGAGCTCAGGAGACTCCTGCACACAACCTGTGAAAGTGCTATCAATTAAAGCAAGGAGAGAAAGCAGTCCAAGGGGAAACATAAGAAAGGAGTGTTAGGAGACAGGAGGTGGAGATAACAGTAATGTTTAAGGAGGAATAAGTCAATTTGGGAGCCATTATTCAACTTTAGTGGAAAAATGAGGATTCTGGCACTAGAGAAAGCCAGAAGAAGCTGTTTCAAAAAAAAAATATATATATATTAGAGAGTCGTAAGATTTGTGAAAAATTTTGTCTGGAATCGACCTCTGGGGATCGTTAGTCTAGTCCTTGGCTCAAAGCAGGGTCAGCTTCAAGGCTAGAAACAGGTGTACTACATCTAGGAGGCATATGAGTAAGAAGGCAGGAAGAGCACAGGGCAGAGGATACGAGAGAGAATTAACTGTTCCTTAGATGTGGCATATTTGGAGCAGTTACTGGAAAAAAAACATACAAAAAACAATTTACTCCAACAGATGATAAAACAAGAAGGAAAAAACTTCCTTCCAGTGCATTGTGCCACGCTCCTTTGTCCCACCTTGAATAGTGACCTCTCAGCTTATCAGTACTACACAGTGGCATCTATTTAACCCATGCTAAATTCGCATTTTTCTCACCATCTGAATCGCAGAATTTATCTTTGTTTTTTTCCACAGCCGTTTCACAGTACAAAGAACTCAAACTTACCTTACCAGTGTGAAAAAGGGTATTTTTAGCATCTTTTTGGAAGCAATTACCTCATGAGATCTTTGACCTTTGCAGGCAAATTTTCATACTGACAGCCTACTCATTACGAAATGCTAATAGGGAAAGTATTAACACCATTTACCATACCAGTCTTGAAGTTTGTCAGACTGTGTACACTGAATCAATGTGTATGCAAGATGACAGCACAGTTTGCAAGAGGGGAAGAGAAGAAGAATGAATTACGAGAGACCTCTTATGACCAGATTTGTTTTCAAGTTTTCTGTTGTTTAGTTTTATAAAGCAAATTTAAATACCAGCCTACTGGAGGTGCACAACTCACCTGCATCTCACAAACTCCTTTAATAACTTCTCCTGTTAGTAGCATATTTTTGTTAATTAGACATATTTCTTGCAGTAGTTGGCAGATTTCCAGTTTTGAGATAATCAGTGCTGACATATATCTCAGGCCTCTGCATTATAAAACAGCCAGATTCATTCTGTATCCTATTAGCATCACGCCTCCAGAGTAGATTTTTTGAAGTGAATGCTCACTGTTTTAAAGGATAACTGAAGCAGAAATCGTTCTGATTCACCTACATTAGGGGCTTGCTTTCTTACGCTTGAAGACTTCCCTCAGAATAAATAGTTCTTCAGCATGAATACCAAATATTTGTAAAGCAAATCAGTCTCACTGAGTATCAGTCTCTTAACCATCAAGTCCTTTGTGAACTTATACAAACCCTTATCAACAGCCAATGTGGAATCTTGAATTCCCTCTTCAATTAATTTGTGTGTGCAAACCTTAAACCCCCTATTTAGGAGAAAAGCTTTCTTTAGTAAAACTAGTCAGAAATTTCTTTTTATACTAACAGAATTCTCATGCACTTTAACAAAAATAAGGCCCAACTTGAGTAACATCCAGAATAACTGCCCTGACATTAACTATTTTTTTTTTTTAAGTGAGACTGGTATAGTTAAACTGAGTGAAGATTTTAATAAACAGTAAGTCTGAATAAGCAGATTATTTTAAATAGGCTGAAGGATTTTGAAATGGAATCATGTTAGACACGAATCCAGATTCCATCTAAAACAAAAATCATCACACAGTTTAGGACACAGACCTAATGTCTACAATTTTCTTCACTACTATTAACTATTGATCACAATCATTGTAATAGTTACAATCGCTTAATCATTGCATAATCCTCGCATAATCATTGCAATAGTTATGAATAGGTTACCAAGCTTGTGACAGCTTTTCAAGGTTGGCCAATGTTTAGGATGAGTAACCATATATCTATTTCGGAATTTTTCACCAGGGAGATAGAGAGCACTTATTTTACATAATAAACTTACATAATTAGTTCTGATATATTTGAAGACTAAATACAGATATAGCCAGGATAAAATACATTATATAGTCATAACTAAAATAATAGAAGAATGTTTTGTATATAAGTGTGAATGCCAATATTCAGAAATTCAGAATTCATTCAGAATCACTTGTATGTGATAACTAAGCTTGCTAGTAAAGCAAAAATTATGCAGAACCTAATAATAACAATTTAACACTCTACTCTGCTTTTTTAAGATAGTGGGTTCTTCTAAAATGCTGTTATCTAAGGATGGCTAGAAAAATCTTTAATTTTTCTTACAGTAAAACTTTGACTTTTCATTGATGAACGCAAACCTGGAGGCATTTGCCTCCAGATGACATCTTCAGATGACAACATACATAGAGTGTCTTCGTATCTTCTCAGACCTTTCCCCAAAGAAACTGAGAAGAAAATCCATCATGCCTAGAAGCCAATGACTAAACCAAGATAAATAGGGAAATAAGCACTGAACTTTGAATTAGAAGTTCAGCATTGCTTCTTGAGCGGGATGGAGGATCAGCTGCCCCTAGAAAACTGATAAACTCTTTTTTAATAGTTTTTTTTTTGCAGTCTTGTGATATTTAATTTATAAGCACATTCAAAGTAATGACAGATTTTGCTAGAAATCCGATTATTGCAATTTTATGGTGATTTTATTTTTTGATTTTATGGTATTCAACTTGCCAAAGCTGGAAATAAATTCTGTATCATTGGAAGGCTTGGACGGGATACATGGATTGTTTCTAGCCCTTAACATAAAAAAGATACGCAGTTTGTCACTACACCCCGAGTGAAACAGTCTTGGAACTCAGACCTCCTTGTTTTGAAAAATCTGTTTTAATATAGTCCACATTAAGGAGAAAGCAGGAAATAGCTTTGTGACAAATTATTTCTTGGAAATTGAGCACTTTTACCAAGATCAGGAAAGTGCCAATACTAAAAGTCCTCGGACATGGAGCTAGCAGGTCCAATGCCGTTGAGGTCACGAACATGATCTCGATGTGAGCAAAGGGAA